TCATGGAAAATTATGCATGCATACAATCAATATTTTTTTTCTTACCAAACTTAGTACATAGAACAATAATTCCGATCTCAATAAATTATCAACCATTATATTATTTAAAAGAATCAAAACAGACTAAAAAAAGAATCCAAATTAAACATATGTTTTAATTTTGTTTATAGATTATTTACGGTAAACAAACATTTTTACATGATAATTTGTGTTATTAGTAAGCACTGATGGAGTCTCTATATTTTATTTTTTGAAGAAATAAAACATGATACATTACTAAAATTCAACTCCGCGGACAAAGAATTTAAAATATATCTCAGATATTCTGATTATTTACAAAACTTTTTAATTTTTTTAAACAAATAAAATTTGTATAGATTTTATTTTATCAATTATCAGTATCTTCAAATGTTGTATATATATTTTACTGATCCATTATCTTATTACGCGGTTATTAGATAAGCCTACTGTTAATGTTAGTATTAAAAAATGGAAAATCTTTTAACAAACAGAAACAACAACAAAAAGAAAAAGGAAACTTTGGGCAGACTTGGATCACAAGTAAATAAACGCGTATCCAAAACATAACAAAACCTACCTGGAATTGGAACTTATAACTGTTACTACTCTTTAGTCTCTCTCTTTATATAGAAACACATATCTGAACATTCTCTAACAATTTCTCTCATCTTTCGTTGCTTTAAAACCCTAATTACGCCTCGAGAGAAAGATAGATCCAAAGAACGAGAACGATGCAGAAGCAAGAGTTCTTGGAATTGTTCGAAGCAGCAACTCGAGCGGCTAAATCTTCAGAGGTCTCGAGATGCATCGACGCGATGAATCGTTTAAAAGAAGCTCCTAAGTCACTTGCTTGTGACGTAATCTACACAACCTACATTGGAAAGAGTTTTAGCGTTTTCATCGATCACGAAAACCCTAAAATCCGATCCGAGTCAAAGCTTCTTTGGGATCTTTGGCTCATGTATCTCTACGCAACCGGTTCAAAACAGAGCCGAGTACTCGTTAAAGATCAGAATCCGGTGAAGAAGACAGGAGATTCCAAGCGAGACAAAGTCCGTGAGATTCTACAAACATCCTTGTCTAAAGTCGCTAATGAAGTTGTTAACGTGGAGATGAAGAAACGAGTCGTTTCTTGCGATCCTTCGATCGTGGCTGTTTCGGTTGAATCGGCGATGTTTAAGAGATTAGGTTGTTTCATGGGACCTCAAAAAGCTAAGTATAGATCGATTTTGTTCAACATGGGAGATAGTAACAATCCGGATTTGAGGAGGAAAGTGTTAATCGGTGAGATCAATGGAGAAAGATTAGTGACGATGAAGAAAGAAGAGATGGGAAGTGAGAAGATTCAGATGGAAGTCGAACAAATCAAAGAGAAAGCAAGATTTAAGGAAGATAATCGTATCAAGATGATGTGTATGCTTCAATCATCATCAGATATGATCATGACTTAATAATACTAGAGATTGTCGATTTTTTTATTAATCTCTTTGTGTGTTTTGTTTTTAATGTAAAGACATATAAGAGTAACATATTGATCTGCTAAAAGTTGTATTATTGTGATAATATGAAACCAAAATAGATATTGGCTACAACGATTGTATATTTAAAAAGTGAAAACGCTTTATTTGGGAATAAAGTTTTTGTTTTTTTCAATGGATCTATGGAGAAGGTAGTGGTGTGTTCAATTTCTTACACTGGGAAATACAAACTTGTAATTTCTTTGAACAAATCTTATACTTTCCTCTGCAACAATAACAATTGCGAAAAAGGCTAATGCTGCAACGTTCTTTAACGCACGTTGATGGTCTTAAATCTAGGTTTGCCTCCTCCTCCATTAAACTACCTACAAAAACAACCAAATTATAACATTTTTTTATTATTAATAAGAGTGGTATATATGGTGATGGTTATACTATTATATGTGTGTATATACAACATACATTGATGGAGATTGAAAAAGGAAAC